ATATAAATCAAATAAATAAATAAATAAATAAATAAATAAATAAATAAATAAATAAATAAATAAATAAATAAATAAATAAATAAATAAATAAATAAATAAATAAATAAATAAATAGAGGAAGACTGCACATGAGATGGATTGACTCAATAAAGAAACCCACAGTCTTTTGTTTGGTGCTGCAGTCAAAGTAGGACCAGGAGCAGAAAGACTGGCATTCAGATTTTGGGAATAAACTATGCTACTCTTGTCTGCTTTGGGGATGAGAAATAGAGAAACGTGGTTGCTACACACTTCCGACTTCTGTTCTCAGCAGAAACTGCAGAGCTAAGTGCAGTGGAGATTAAATTTTAGAAGGTTCCTTTTTTCATGGTTTGAATTCTATGGTTTTTACATATCAGGACATAATAAAAATCATCTGGTCCTTAGCAGATCTGAAAATCAGATAACTACAACCTCAGACGAACAACATGTGGCATTACACCTTGTCGTGATTTAAAGCCGAAATGGAGACGTCAAGTACACCCTTAGAGCTTCCATAGGAATTAAGCCACGAGCTGCTAACCAAATGCCCTTGAGTAATTGATCTGCAGCAAGTTTTGGCAGTTTGCTGGTCTGGAGCATTAAGGTATTTGTTAGCACAATGCCAAGGAGGAAATACATCAGCAGTGGTCGTTGAGAAGCAATTGTTGCTGCCCATCAATCTGGGAAGAGTTATAAGGCCATTTCCAAACAACTCAGAGTCCAACATTCTACAGTAAGGAAGATCATTCACAAGTGGAAAACATTCAAGACAGTTGCCAATCTTCCCAGAAATAGTTATCCAAGCAAATTCATTCCATGGTCAGACCAAACAATGCTCAGAAAAATTGCAAAAACCTCAAAAGTGACATTTCATACTCTGTAAGCTTCAGTTGGCATGTTCGGCGTTAAAGGTCATGACAATACAATTAGAAAAAAATGGAACAAGTCTGGTTTGTTTGGAAGTGAAACTGCTGTGTTTTCCATTGATGATTTAAAAAAAAAAAAGCACACTGATCCTTTAATATTGGGCTGTGGTACCCGCGGTACCAGGGTGGGTGACATGATCTTTAGCCTGGTTTGTTCCTTTTTGCACAGCACACACAGAATGATTGAAGTGGTAGGAAAAGCCCCCCCACCAACTCTGCGTTGGCTGTCTCTAGCAGACACGTCATTGCTAGCACCACTCTGGCAGCCATTTATGATGATTAAATCCTCTGCGAGCTAGCAAAAAATTAATGCAACTTGCTAGGTATGTTGGACACCTTACTACTCCCTATACCACCCCATGGCTGGATTGCAATGTGTTCCAGCAAAAATAATGCACATCTTTATTAAATTTGGTGCATCCTGCTAGTTCCGTACACAGCCTGTGTAGATTCCATAATATTTTGAATTCAAATAATGTATGATTTCCTTCCTTTCAAATCAAGGGTGTAATGTCAGCGTATATAATTTTTTTTTTGGGGGGGGGTAAAAGGTAAAAAAGTTCTCTGACCCCTGTATTAAGGTAATCAGGAGAGGCCTTTCTCTCGGTTCCGCCACCTTCATAGGTGCATTTGGTGGGGACACAGGAGAGAACCTTCACTGTATATGCTCCCAGACTTTAGAACTCCCTCTCACAGGAAGCTAGGCTGACCCTATCTTTATTCTCCTTCCACAAGCAGGTGAAGATTTTTCTCTTTAGACAAGTTTTCCTTTAGTGATTGGCTGCCTGAATGGGGTTTTTAGATGGGATTGTTTTACCTTACTGTTTTGACTGTGTTTTGATATTGCTTATATTTCACTGTTTTTAGCTTTAAATACTCTCTTTTAATGATGCAAGCTACTTGTGTCCTTTTGAAGAAAGACAGGGTAAAATATTTTAAACTAAACTAAACTAAACTAAACTAAACTAAACTAAACAATATACATACATACATACATACATACATACATACATACATACATACATACATACATACATACATACATACATACATACATACATACATACATACATACATACATACATACATACATAGAAACAAAACCATAGCTTTTCTGAAATCATATTTCTAGGGGGAATTGTTTCAAATTTCTCCTACACACTGAATACTTATAATCTACATTTTGTAAAAAAATGATTTTGTACTATTTAAATTATGTCCTTTTTGTAAATTAAATATTGTTCTGGAACTGTAAAAGATTTACTTTCTTCTGAAATATATTTTTTGTTTGATGCTAATATAATAACAGCTTTGAGGAAGGTTTGCAGAGCTAACAGGTATTCTGCCGGTATTTGTAAATTTGTTTATGAGGATAGAAAAGTACTTAACTGTACAAATATTCAGACTCTAGAATCCTGACATTTTGTATAATGATCATTTGTCCCTTTTGAAACAGAATGAGGACAGATCTACCTCTTTTGAAACACACTCCCAAACAGGACAACAAACAATTAACTTGGTTGGAAATATAAAGAAGCCTTCTATATTAGATAGGATTTCCTGTAAAGAGAGGAGAAAAGTTCATTTTCTTGCAGTGTAATCCTTTTGATCTTACCAAGTTCATTCATTGCATGCCGATGCTCTTCATCAAAGGAAAGCTTCATTAGAACACATACCGCAGGACAGATCTGATGGTCCACTGGAGCCGGCACTGTGTTAGTACAAGGAAAATATTTTTTTATTTACTTTGTCAATTAAGAATTAAACAACACAAGTATTAGAGGCCAGCTTTTAAAACTGTTTATTAGACAAATGAAATGCAGCCTAATTATCACATAATTGTGTGGTCTTTTCAGATTACAAAAAATCTGAAGCCTGCCAGTTATGCAATGATGGACTCAGCATACTCAGACTTCACACCTGATTGAGCTGGAATAACAGAAGCCCCGTTAATTGTGGCGAACAACTCTGAAGAGTCTGGGGAATATTTTTTTCTATTCCAGGACCCATCAAGGTTCACTCCAGGTACCAAAAATGTGAGAAAAGGAGACAAAAATAGCTATTCCAAGTTTCTACACTTCTGTTCCCCTTCTAGGAGGGCACTGGAAGAACTTGCGGGAGGACTACATCTGGAGGCTTAAAAGAGTGAAAAATGACATTTTTCATGGGAAAAGTTTTTTTTTACTAGTCAAGGGGCATGGGGGGTGGGGTCCAGGGGTCCCAATAGCTCTGTGGGATATATGTAGCAAAAATTACATTTTCCAGAAACAGCAATCTAGGAGACGGGACAAATTTCTTTGATTCTGTGTCTGGATGCCATATACATACAATATGAAAGTGTCACTGGTGGGCTATGTCAGGCACTGAGTATTTAGGAATTTTCCCTGCTTTTGATAGGATCACACACATAATGAAATAATACATTTGAATTCCTAGGAATGTTCTTAGATCTGGTGTCAATTTTGGTGGCATCAAGTGCTTAGGAGCCATTGCTCCCCCTCATTTTGAGGCTCCCAAAACCTTCCCCAAGCCAACAAGAATCCCAAGAGAGCCTCAGAACCCGTTGTGTGTGTGTGTGTGTGTGTGTGTGTGTGTGTGTGTGTGAGAGAGAGAGAGAGAGAGAGAGAGAGAGAGAGAGAGCAATGAAATTGAAAACTTCTAATGAGCATAAAAAACTGAGGCTAATTATGTCACCACAACTGGTACAGGTTTAACTTCATACAAGAGGATGTTTGCCTTTGCATCTTTATTCATATGTTCTTTGTCCTTCAGAAAGATTCCAGGGAAAACTTTGTTCCATACTCTGATAATCAACAAGGCTGATATTACTAAGGAGCTGGACAGGAAGTTTTCTGTAATTGTATCCATGTTCTGCAATATCCTTTCCAGTGAGGCTAGTAAAGCAACATGAATGTTTTCTTTATAGCATCAGTTTAAGACTGTATTGTTTAGATAGGCATTTCCTGGCTGTTCAGTAGTCTATATTAGGCTGCTGAACTTGTATCTTTGTATAATTATACTTTGTATAATTTTCTTTCAATTAATTTTATTTCTCAACATATTGAGCTATGTACTATTATTATGTAGTTTTATTCTGTATAATTTGCTTAACATATTGGCAATTTCAGCTGCCAATGTTGTCACAAAAGAAGCTATACAACTACAGTTTGGGGGTAGGGCTTAAATTACGAGCCTGAAAAATCATACTAGGGCTTATTTTTAGGTTAGGTCTTATTTTCGGGGAAACAGGGTATTAGAATTGCTGGATAGTTCAATGGTTTAGGTATCTTGCTATGGAGCCAGAAGTTGCGAGTTCCATTCCCCACTGCTATTCAATGATTCCACCCTATGGATCAGTGAGTCCAGGCATACGACTCAATGATTCACTGGGTCCATCCCAGCTCTGCAATTCTAAGATGATGATGATTTTTTATTATTATAGATATAAATAAATGGCTGAGGCATAGATATTTCATGATTTCTCCCTATAAAGCGAACTAAAGTCAGGAACACTATAAACCTGCATTATTACTACGCACATCTATCACAGGCAACATACTGAAGATTGTTGGACTGATCTGAATTAATCAGAAATAATGCCATTTGCACCTTCTGACCGTCTTTTATTATCATGAATGCAGTGGCCTACTTTACACAAAAACTAGCTATAAACCTGGCTTACAATTTATTAGCAATATGCTTGTGTATGTTTGTTTGGCCACTCCCACTTGCAGTGGGAGTGGTTAAACAAACTGCAGACCTTCTGTCAATGATTTAGCATGACATGTGAAGTAGAATTCTATCTTGCCTCTTCTCTGATAAGCCAAGCACATGGATTGTTTTCCCATGCAAGCCATAATCCATGCTTCATATAACATGCTAAAAAAAAAAGAGCCTCGTGGCTCAGTGGTTAAACTGCTGAATTGCAGTCAAAACTGTGCTCACGACCTGGGGTCCCAGGTAGCTGGCTCAAGGTTGAATCAGCCTTCTATCCTTCCGAGGTCAGTAAAATGAGTACCCAGCTTGCTGGGGGAGGGGGCAATGTGTAGCCTGCATAATTAACTTGTAAACCGCCCAGAGAGTGCTTGAAGCACTATGGGGCGGTATATAAGCAGCACGCTTTGCTTTGCTTTTAAAAAAATCTGGATAAAGGTATGCTTAGCTGCTCCAGTATGCAGGAGAAGCCAAGAGACCAAGTTGCATGCATCAAGAATGCTAACACATATAATAAGTGAGAATTCTCCAGAACATTCCCGGTATTTCTAGATGGCACCCTATTGTAGCAGGAGTTCCAAGAAACAATTAAATACTGTGGTTGTTGTGGGTTTTTCGGGCTCTTTGGCTGTGTTCTGAAGGTTGTTCTTCCTGACATTTTGCTAGTCTCTATGGATGGCATCTTCAGAGGACTGGAGTAGGAACTCTGTCCATGCTCTGTTGCTGTTTGTTGGATAGTTGAGTATTTATAGCTGTGGGAACAGCTTTTGTCCTTTTCAGGAGATAGGGTAATCAGCGTGTTTTTATTTATTTGTTTTTTGTTTTGTTTTGATTTGTACCCCACCCATCTGGTCTACAAGACCACTCTAGGCGGCTAGAGTGTTGTGGATGTATTGTTGTGATAAGTGGGAGAGATTATTTGTCTCTGTGGTTGATGGGTGTCTTTAGCTGGTCTCTTTTGTGCAATGATCCTTGGTCCTTGTGGCTGGGTAGAGTTCGTTGACTTTCTGCAGGCTGTACAGTGGTGCCTCACTTAACGGGTGCCCCGTTAAACGACTAATCTGCATACCGATGAAGATTTTGCGATTTTTCCCCGTCGCCCCATTTTCGCGCAGCTAATTGGCGGGGCTTCCGGATGATCGCGGGGAAGCGGTCTCCCCCCCATCCTCCCGAAGCCCCGCCGATCAGCTGCGCGAAAATGCGGGCTTCGGGAGGATGGGGGGGAAGAAGGGATTCCCCCCCATTCTCCCAAGCTGGGCGAAAATGCGGGCTTTGGGAGGATGGGGGGAAGGGCTACTCCTCCCCATCCTCTTGAGCTGGGCGAAAATGCTGGCTTTGGGAGGATGGGGAGGGAAGCCATCCCTTCCCCCAGCTGACCGGCGGGGTTTTGGAGACTGGGGTGAGGGGGTGGCTGGGGGAGAGCCGGGAGGCAGGGCAAGGCCTGGGTGTTCCGGCGGCCCTCCTCCCAGCGACGGAGGTGAGGGGTGGCTCGGGGGGAGCTGGGAGGCAGGGCAAGGACCGGGTGTTTCGGCGGCCCTCCTCCCAGCGGCGGTGGCGGAGACAGGGGTAAGGGGTGGCTCGGGGAGAGCCAGAAATCAGGGCAAGGCCCGGGTGTTCCAGCGGGCCTCCTCCTGAGCCCTCGCTTGCTCACCACCCAAGGATGCCCGGTGTCTCCCGGGCTGACTGGCTGGCAAGCGAGCACTGGGTGGATGGCCCGCCCCTTCCCTCCCCCGGCGGCTGCCTCTGAGCCCTCGCTCGACTGCCGCCCAAGGACGCCCGGTGTCTCCTGGGCTGGCTGGCTGGCTGGTTGGCGGTGCTTTGCCATGATCGGTTCCCTGCTCGGGGAACCGATCATGGCAAAGCAATGCTTTTTTAACAGCTGATCGGCGGTT